TTATAAGGAAAAATGCCTTGTTTCTTATTGTTTTCATATCTGTTAAGTATAAGTTGCAAAATGCTTGACTTGACCGAAATATCTGTCACCGAGAACTGTTATATTGTGTATTGTTGGTATTGCTTTATTATCGTCAAAGATGCCAGGTGGTCATTTTAGCAATGAAGAAAATTTCGACATGCTGACGTGCTACATTTTGTATCACAAATATACTAAAAATACTTTAGAAGTATATCTTGACAAATTCCCGAAAGAAGGCAGCCAAGTAAGTCCATTTTCCTAGAGTTGGCTCGAAATTAGATGACTATGGTTAATTCAAAAAGCCTGTTACGTCTCCAAAAAACTAATCTAGAATCTAGAGGAAACTCATGATAGTGTCTCACAAGCAGTTGGTGAGAACTCTGAGATATCAACTAGGTAAACTGAGGAAAATGTAGGAGTAGCTAAATCCACAGCCCAATTTACTTTGCGTAGATATCACTCCTATAAATTCAGGATTTCACAAGGATATATACCAGGGGATAACGAATGGCGCCAGTTTTTTTGAGAGTGCTACACACTAATAATGATACCTTTAGTCGCCGTAGCGCTCATAACCTAGGTTCAAGAAAATCTGCGGGCTAAAAAAGTATCCAGACATCTAGAATATTTTGGGTTAAAAGGTGTGCTAGATATTGAGAGAGATGACTCTCATTACAATTGTGTATAGTTGTGTTTGTTACAATTACTGTTCATATTGGGAGCGAAATTTCGCAACACCTTTATCTTATGTTTTGTGTTTTAATGTATCTTATAATAAATTTGAGAACCTCCTCAGACAGATGGTTCAACAATCTCGGCACTTTAAGAACAAAAGAGCAGTCGTACTGGCCAGTTCTCGATGCACAACATCAACAGATTTGGGATTCGTACCTTGTCCACCTGTCAGAATACAACATGTTTTCACGTTGAGCAAGAGTACCATTTTGAAAGTAAATACGTTTTCCTTACTCTGACGCGTAACTATGGAAAAAGTAATATTTTCACATAACTTATTATACCTCCATCATGAAAATGCAACAAACTCATGTCTATCAGTCTATTTATTGGCCACTTCGTCACTGCGTAGCGTCAGCAAGCGTTGCAACGATGATACTGGAAAGGGAGTGAAGCCATAATTACGCCTTCAATTAAAATTGCTGCTGACATTACTCAGTAACAAAATCGCGAAAAACAGACTCAGGGAAGTGAGTGACTTGATCTTCATAATGAAAACATCACAAATTGTCAAAAAATATTACATTTTCACACTTTCACGTGGCAGTAGAAAATAGATTAACTTCAAATGCTATTCTTGATAATAAATGATTATGAAATTATCTCCACGTTAAATTGTGTTGTATGTGTAACTACCAGCAACGTATCCACTGATGCCAATCTGTAAACGCAGCACGAATTTTTGCTGGCTTCTGAGCATTAGCTGTCCAGATTCATTTTTTTTTGTTGTTGATGCATATGTTGCACAGCAAACCGTGATACTCTCAGACACACGTGCCTGCAGCTTGTCATTATGTACCTTTATCCTACAAAATACGTCACTGTACAAAATGTGTTTCAGCATTTCGTACTGAAGCAGCAGGTAAATAGTTACCATGTGGATATTTCTTTCATATATATTCCTATTACCAAAAGGAAAAATGAAAAGTATCGGAGTGGTATTGAGTGAGAATGTTGCCGTCGCGACGTCCCGATATGAATAAAAGATAAGGCATGCTGTGAAAAAACTGTGTAGCAGGGCGGTATGTCTACTACCATAATAGAACAAAAACTCATCGGTCAGTTTTTCGATCTGTCGGTTTTGGGTCATTCAATCGGTTTTTCCAAACAACGAATTTCTGACCATAATTTTTAATGGAACTAACGAATTCGACAGATTAGAAGGAGCCAACCCTATACATGTTTACATTGTTGCCAGAATTAGTGCATATTTCTTACTCATTTGACTACCAATGCCTATCAAAGTGACAGTGCTGTATCAACATAATAATAATACTTATCGGTGGAAACATCCATCTTCATAAGGCTTGTGCCGTTCTTTCCAAATTGTGTAATGTCCAGTTGGATCTGTCAATAAATCAGATCTCTAGCTAGGCAACATTATATTTATTACTAATTTATTTGAGTGACTTTGGGTATTTGATAGTCTGATAGTGAGAAAGTAACCAAAGGGCTCAATCTGATTATCAGTATGTTAGTCGCAAAGGTTTATCTGTAAGGAGCAATGAATTGAGACCAGTGCACTTAAAATAATTTAATTTTTGACAGTTCTATCATTAAATTAATTTTTTAGCGTTAAAGGTACCAATGTTTACAGATACATATGGTGCAGATATTCCCATCCATAAGTATTATTATGTTGATACAACACTGTCACTTTGCTTGTATGCAATGTAAACATATAGACTTACAGCTAGCCGCAACGTAATACAGTGTCTCGAAGGCGACGTTCTGGGAAAGCCTAATCCTTCAACTTAATATTCGAAAAATGGCCTTGTTTAAACACTGGTTGTATGGATTTATACGGCAGCTGTTCCCCAAAAAGATGGATAAAAGCCTCACCTGAGTGAGTGATCTGAAAATTTCTATCCGGCAAACCTCCAGGATGCTGATTGCAAATCTATTATCAAAATTAATACATTTTTAAAATAGCAGATCCAGTATTTCGGTATAAGTAACACAATCAACAAAGCAGAATTTGAAACAAGGCTGCTTTTTTCAAAAAGAGCTGTTTTATCGGAGTCAAACAATAATGCATTTTTTTTACAATTACAAAAATCTACTTACTTTAATACTTGAACGCCCCCAGAGAACAAAATACTCTTAGAAAGCTCAAAAAATCACAACTAGAATTTTGCAGAATGTTTCGTACAATATAATTTTCTGCATTTTATTGAGGAGTGCTCATACCGGACAATTCTACAAGGTGGCTCACCTCTTGCATTTCTTTCTTGCTTTTGCATAAATCAACTGCATGTCAATTTTCTCGTTTCTAGTATAGATTTCCATTGTAAGTTAACTACTTAACAAATAAGCTTTTAAAACTGACAGTATTTTTAATAACCTAGATTAGTTATTTTTTCAAGTAACCCTAGCGACACCTTCAATTGTTTGTAACGGATAACTAAAATAATAGGACTTAGTGCATAGGCATACCGAATGCAGATACGTATTAATTGTTGTTAGGTAGGATCGTTTCTTTCAATTATTCAGAAAAATAGTGAAAATAAGTGTAGTATCAAATCATTCGTAAGAAAATAGTATCTTTCTATTTGAAAAAATTAAGTAAGCTTTCGTGTTTGTAACTTTAAAAAAATCTTTAAAATGAATTTAGAGTCGTTTTCCTCAAAATCGTATATTTCCAGTGTTACTTGATCAAAATGAAGCGATTTACAGGATCCATGACATTCTAGATCGAAAAATAAAAACTGAAATAAAAATGACTTTATTGGTCAGATATTGTTGAGTTTAGAATGACATTCTCGATCGAAATAAGTAAAAGTATATAAGGTGTCCCATTTAAAAATCGAAAGTTGGAGTCGTTTCCGGAAGTACATCAAAGCAAGTGAATATGCTAAAAAATGTAAATTCATCTATAATACGCAACCCACAATTTTCTATCTTCAATGATAGAAAAAGTTGAAGGGCTGAGCCATCTTGGATAATCACCCGGTATACCTATTACTGTAACTATACAACAAACTTCATTTCACACAAGCTATACACGTACCTTCCATTTTATGTGCGCTGTTCTTCTGGTCTCTGACACTCTGAGGTTTCTGGTCTAATTGTACGACCAATAGAAAGATGACCGGTCACGTGGGGATGTGCGGCTAATAGCAGTTCTTCAATATACTGATTCAAACCTTTCTTCGGAATTAAGCATTTCAGGATAAAAGTTATCACTGAATCAGCCGAAACTTATCTAGTGGTTGTCTATCTGGAGGCACATTATACTGGTAGCTTAATGAGACTACCAGTAAAACATGGAGATTCATAAAAGTTATCTGTCATATGAACCTTGAGATCGTGAAGCACTTTATTATATTTCTGCTAGGTACTATGGCATGAGCACCTTGTTAGCTTAGGAACATAAAAAACCGTTAGGTATCATCGACGAAGCAATAAGGTGTTTTACTGAAGGTTTAAAAGCCCAAGCACGAGTTATCCTAGCTATGTCTTTTATACTCCTGGGCTATACACCCACCGAAACAGACAAACATAGTCTGTAAAGTAATACTAGTCCTACTGTTTCGGCTGATATTCCCAATAAACTCTCCCATCTGATTCCATCGGATTATGAGAGCTTTCTAGTCTATTCCCTATGGAATCAGAGCTCTGCGTTACGGCTTCTTATTGCAACACCATAACGTCGGTTGGCTGCGCTAGCTCCGAGTAAAATGAGCATGCCAATCGATTTTCAATTCCCCTAAAAGAATACTCTCGCAGCACTACATTTCCTACGCAACGAGCATTATTCCATTCATTTCGTTTAGCTATAAGTGCTCGGTATTTTTATTGTTATATTTGAGTTTATGTATTGAGGTTTCACTGAAGCTTAATGGGTTTGACATTTAATCTATTGGTTATCGGAAAAGTGGCAGAAAATATATAGTTATATGCATTGCGTTATACAAAAGCCTTGTATTAAACGGAAAGGGGTCAATTTCAATCCTATATCCTTATCCGATTGTGCACGGTTTTTGAGTTATCCCCATTTTCAAGAATTTGTAGGAAATCTCTATTTTTGACACTGTGCTTGTTATTTCTCAAACAGCTACACATGTTATATTCCTAGGTGATGTATCCTTGAAGAAAGGCTATCAGTGAACAAATAGTCTAGTTAATGCTGATATGCTAATCGGACGAACAGTAATTTTATCTATTGTATCACAAACACGATAATAAAACTTGTTTACGCTAACATTCAACCTATTAAATGTTTGCAGAGACAATGTACTACTTGTTCGGCTTGTGTGATTATATTATCGCGATACCGATGCAAGATGTCGTATTCCTCACAGTAATATGCAAAAATGTTCTTACCTCGTGGGTTGTGCAATGGAAATGCTCGATTTTCTGCTGAAGATTATAGTACAGAGAAATGCTTGAGAGATAAGAAAGAATAGGAAAGTCCGAGAGCCGACGTACATAGATGGTAAAGACTGAGTACTACAGTTAACTGACTGAATTTAACATATTGTTGATATAGCTAGGTCGACAGTACATCGGACTCTACATGGAGAGTTGCTTCACCTGTTGCATATTCAACGTGAGCAGGCACTTCATCCAGAAGGCTACCCAAAGAGTGCTCCAACAATTCAGAAATGTAGGTTTCAAAAAGAAGGTGTTATGGATGGACAAAGGGGGGCAATAATTACAACAGTAACAACTCACACCACTGGACACTAGATAACCTGTAACTTGACTAATGATAAGTAAATTAATTTGATCATTCTAATTAACAGGAATACTGTGCGGAGAAACTCATTCAAATCACGTTTGAAATAATCTACCAGAACTGTCAGGTGAGAGGTTCCAGTATGATCGGACTTTTCTACGCAATGAACGCCAGGCTTTTTCTAAATCGCATCTACTCCAGATGATGAATTCATAGAATTTATTTACATATCCAATGCCGCCATCTCTTGGATTGTTTATACCTAGAATCTAATCAAGTTTGAGGACTTATTGCCCCTTAATTGTTTTCTAATCCTATTAGGAATGTAGAAAGGTTGAACATGCAGTTATAGGATTAGGTTCACAAAATGAGCAAATAAAAACTCCAGAAAAAATGGTAAGGTTTCAAAAGTAGCGATTCTCAACAAATCCTTGAAAATGGCGCTAGCTCAAAAGGCGTGCATAATCGGATAATGAAATATATGTTATCTGTAACTCAGAGACAGACTAAGTTAGGCCAAAGTAAGTAGTTTTGAGATAATTGCGTTTGAAATATTTATCTTGTATTGTATTGTTTGCCACCTATGATAAATAAAGTCGTAACTTTCTTATTATTACAGGTAAGTAAACGTGGCAAGCAGCAATAAAAAATCCAAAACATTACCACGAACTAAACATATAAAACTTATTTTAGGCCAAAATGGACCTGACATTGTCTGGCTCTGAGGTACAGCAATAGTTTTGTCTGATTGAATAATTATATGCATGCTTATTGCCTTCACAGAAGCAGACAGCTATTATTGTAGGAGTACAACAAAAGAAAAACTGCCTTGCGTGGGGACTGTCTCTCTCAATTTACAGTGTCAGTTCTCAAAAAGTTAGACAAAAACCTGGAACATAAAATGATCTGAAAATTTAAATACTGAAGTATTTTGGCCCGCTTATTATGAATCTGGTAAAATAATTTCTAAATATTTTGAAATGCTGAAACGAATAAACTGGATCAAGAATCACAACCGATAGAACTGTGGTGAAACAAGAATGTTCCTTTTTTTCAGACAAGGTATTAAGCTTAAATAATTTTGCCATTATTATACAGGGCGTAAAAATAGGCGATTTTGCGTTGGAAGTAATCCGTCCCCGGCGATCTAAATGAACTAATTGCTTTCCATAAACACCACCATGTGAGTCCCCAACTGGCTACTTCAAAATTTTGTTAAATTATAAGATGACATTCAAAAGTTATTTAAGGTAAATCGACTTCCAGTAGCGTACCTTAGGGCCTGTGTGAAACTTTTTAATATGAACTTGTTTCTACATTTATCACATAGGTCCCACAATATTTTGTCCACGATTTTTTCCCTCTAAATAAGTCAGAGAATTCTGAAGAGACTAAACTACTTTTTTATCTGTCCAGTGAGCTCCAATTCTGGCTCCAGATTCATGTTCAGCGCGAAAAATACATGGAAATAATATGTGTATAGTGAGCCTGCGTTATTAAAAAGTAATTGGAGAATTAATGACGTTCGTTAATCAATATGTCACCCAGTTTTGTATTTAAAATGGACCTGAATTTGGGAGAACATTTTAGCAGTAGCTCGTTCGTGTTATTATTAACTTGATGGGCATGCTGAATAAATGCTTAATAAGACGAAATATATACTAAGTGACATATACAATGCAACACCCAGAATAGTTTATCGAATTTTGATAAAAACTTGTTAACATATCTGCTATCATGGAAAATTTTCCAGGAATTCCGAGCCGTACTCAGGATCCGAACAGTATGAACATGTTTACTTCATATTCAGTGACTTTTCTGTGTTGGACCTATTTGTTTTATTGTTGACGCATTGCATCATCATGCCTAGAGATCCCAGACGCGCTAATTTCACTCAACTTTCCGAGTTTGAGACAGGTCGGATAATCGGGTTACGTGAAGCCGGACTTTCTTTTAGAGAAATCGCTAAAAGGGTGAATCGAATCGCCGAATAAGGCATTTTGGATTGTTTTCATACCCTTACCATCTTGTACTACCTCTGACCCCGCAACATCGTCGGCAACGATTGAATGAAATATGGATTAGAACTCAGTCGTGTCCAGCGATGAGTCCAGATTCTGTTTGGACACACATGCACGAGTAAGAAGGAGACCTGGGTAAAGTTGGAACGTCCAATATTCCATCGAACGGCATGTTCATCACACTGTGAGTGTTATGGTATGGGGTGCCATTTCAGGACAATGCACGTTCTCATGTCGCATGTATTAGTTTAGACTTTTTAGAAGCATCCAGAGTAAATCTGCTTCAGTGGTCTCCTCGACCTCCAGACCTTTCCCCCATCGAACATCTATGGGACATGATGTGAAAAAGGTTGCAAAATTGACCGCATACTCCACAAACATGGCCTGGAATTCGACACAAGACATCAATCACCTAATACAATCGATGTCGCGACGACATTATGAATGTGTAGCGAACAGAGGAGCTTCAATACATTATTAACATTAAGGTGGGATATCTCAGCTATTTTGCGAAATTTCGAGTTAAAATTTTAATCACTTTCTATCTATCAGTAGACCCAAAACTTGTAAAAGTATGCTCAAAATTGCAGTACTCCTAGTCGGTGTTGCATTTTCTGAGTATTCACATATCAGGTGACTTGGGAGAAAGATACAGGGTAACTTACCTGTATTAAGCAAAATGAAACTTGAATTTAGAGAAAATCAGCATGTCGAATAAGGAAGGACTGAAGTTGAACATTTACATGAAGATGAAAAGGATCAACGGAGTGAGGCAGTTTCGTTATCACAAGTATTAAAAAAAAACTATCAATAAGCTATAGTACAAAAAATATGGAAATTGGATATGAAATGGAAATTGATTGGAATTACAATTAGTAGGAAAATTAAGAATTTAAGCGCAAATGGACAGAAACCTTACAAGGTTTTCGCACTTGAAGAGAAAACAAAAGAGAAAGAAAAAAGAAACGCAATAATGCGGCTTTGTAGACGCTGATGGTGCAATAGAAAGTTTCCACGATGTCCACGAATTAAATATATTTGCATTTGGCAACTTATGTCTCTTGTTTATTGTGTATGAATCACCGTTATGAGATATGGGAGACAAAAGTAACAAGATGTTATTTCAGCCCGGCTTCGTTCCAGGTGTTTGACTAATAAATTTATGAAGCTAATTTCACCAGGTTATATTCTTAAACTTCGGCGACTACATTGACTAATCCCGTTTAATACATTTGACAAATAAGCTTGCGAAGATAATTTTAAAAGACTTTTATCTATAATCCGCCGGACGATATCGACTAATAACATTCGAGATTGTTTGCTACTTTCACTATTAATAAATGATGAATGTGCGATGGTATTGTATACACTGAAAACCAAATTTGTCTGGCGGCTAGAGTTCAATGAGTACGAGAAAGATGTGTGTATAAGCACATTATGTTAGAAAGAGACAGAAGCTGGCGGACAGCAAAGTTCATCGCAACGTTGCTAAGCCGCGTTGCCAATACGTTACCGTAAGATGCATATTGAAAATAAGCATTAGTTTAGTCCCTGCCCCCAAATAACGGTCTTATTTTGAGCGTACGCATATTTAGATTGTGAATTTGTGTCGAATCTGTTTAGGATGCATTCCAGATCGGTCCTTACGGTGCTCCATTTTAGATGGAAATGAAAGGTCAGGATCGCTACAAATTCTGCAACATTGCATTGGTTCACTTGAAAACACTGCATCTTGTACGTTCCAAGGCAAGGTGTCCACCTCCGTGATCATTGTTGAGTGATTTTGGTCAGTACTCATCTAGCGCTCGTAGGGCTGTATTGTTATGCTTAGACATGGCCTTCACCTGTGTACAAGTAGGCAGTGGTAATTTGTATTTCGTAATGTTATTTGTTACGTTACAACTCGGGATGTATTGATTTTATCACCATCGGTGGAGATCAAAGTTAATTCTAAAAGAAATTCAAAATATAGAAATAATTCTAATAAAAATGAAAAAAACTATTAAATTAAATGTTCGAACAGACCTCCTTCTTGGGTTTGACAGTAACCTAACCTATTGTTCAAGCCTGTGCGAACATTTTCGGGTGTAACATATTGGCAACGTGTCAGATTGCATGACATTTTGCGTCACCGCTGCATAGGCGCTTCTCTCTCGTACATATTAAACTTAGGTCTTCAGACAAATTTGGTTTTCCCTGTAGTATATAACAGCACCCACTATTTTTAAACCACAAACAGTGCTAATATGTTATCTATGTGAAGAGGATCTGTTTTGCTTTCCATCTCTGTAGCCACAGCCAACGATCTACAACGTTATTTGATGATTTTTAACATTCGTCAGTACTGTATTAGGTGTAGTCTTTTGGTTTTAGTATGTTATTTGTCTCCTACTTTCTTGTCCTTTTCAACTTAAATGATGGATGTGCTACGAATTATCAAGTATGTACAAAAACTATTTTTTCAATTAATTAATACTGGACAAAAGTAAGTCAGCGCACTTGTTCAGTCATTCCTTTATTGATTAGCTGTTGTTCAATGTATCCGATGCTATGGAATACCACCGCCTGGCATAGGATAACTGCCTATAGAATTTCAAATACCGATTCGATAGCGACTTCTGATTAAAGCCGTATTTTTATTGATTCACCTGTTGGAGGGGAAAATAAAGTTGAAACAAAAGCTAAAAATATATGGAAACAGGGTAATAATACCCATTTTCTATAATATACATATTTTAATGAAACTTTTTACAGTACACTTATATAAAACTAAAAATTAACTCCTGATTGATTCATATCCAATCAAATAGTAAGACTTGTTATTGAATACAAAATAAGTTTGACATATTAATTGCATCTTGAGAGTTAATGACATTTTCATAATGTAATATATACAAAACTATTATAGGGTTTTTGGAAAATAACGACAGTCAGGGTTTAAATAGTAACATTTTCCCAACTATAATTGAAGATCATTTTTTTGATCTTAATTATTTAGGATGCTTCACCTACTCTAATGGCAATTCTTTCAGGGTTTGTAGATAGCTACTTTACAAGATCTGCCATAAGACTTTCAGTATCATTTGATTGCGTTACTCCATTTTGTCATGTATCCCAAATTTATTTCTTTACTTCCATCTCTCAGTCACACAATATACACATGTATATGTAGGTATATGTAATAGAAATACTTAACACATGCACCTCCTATGGCACTTCTAAACGGACTATATTTTTACTGCCCGGCTATATTGCTACATATTACCGACCAATTTTCATGTATTGCTAATGGATTGCCGAACTATAGTAATTATAGTAAGCTACCGCTCAATTTCGCCAGTCATTCTTGCCTGATTTTGTAACTCT